ATTTACTGCTATCGTTATTTTGCCTATTCACAAGGGCCCTGTATCGCATGTATTATTGACTTGTCTGTCCTGGTTGATTGGCTTTCTTTCTTGGTGTCCGTTCAGCCGCTATCTTTGATGCTGTTGTTGCAATTGTTTGACTCTCATTATTGATCAGCAACCTCTTTAACAGAGGTTTAGAAGAAATTTTCAACAGTTACAAAGTCCAGATCTATCTCATTGCTCCCAAATTCTGTGTCTCATGCTTTAGCGATTCAGGAGCTGAAACCACATTGGAACCATTATGTTTTAATCTCTTTAAATATCATGTGGCCATTTGTTTGAAATCATTAAGAATGGCGTTTATTTTTTATATACCACATGAAATATATTCATTGCAGCCATTTTGACAACGCTATTTAAAACTGGCTTTTTTTTATTCCCTCGGAAGGTTAATAATTCAATCATGATCCAAATACTACATGGGTTTTTTGTCGACCACACAAACTAGCTAATTGACCAGCGTGTCTCTAATACGTTTCAACTGCAGCCGAATGCTTTTCCAGCCATTGTTTACTCATTGCGGGCCTGTAATAGTGGACATTTGGAGGAAATCGAGCTGGGAAGTATCATGTGTGGCAATCGTGCAGGCGAAAGGGTTTACACGGCCGATGTTCGCTTATTTGCGTCCCTCGGCATGTAGCAGTTGTGGGCACGTGAGAATTTCAAGTAGTTGAGAATCAGAGATGTTCCAAACGTCTCCTGTTGGCTGTTAGATGAAGCTATTTTTCCAAGGCAAATGTTTTTGCAAGAGATGCCTAATGCCACCAGTAAAAGCATTTTCCCTGGCACTGATCAAAAATGTCTTTCTCCCATTTAGCATATTTATTCAGATCTTCAGTTGGTTAATCATTAAGGGTAAGAACGATTGTCTTCAAAGTTGATTTTCGGTTCGGCGAATCAAACGAGGCAAATACCAATGTTGATGCACACAGTTTAAATTTCTACGTCAGGCGTTCATTGTGTCATGATAGGATGTTTGTTCTCCTATAAAGGATTATCATTCTCAATCAAACCCTGGTCACGAAGATCCATCAAATTATCGTTTGCAATATAGCCGAAGCCCACGGGGTGATAAGAATAGCATAATCCACTTCGGTGGTTTTCTTTGTCTCGTCTGAAACTTGTTCAAGTCTGGAATGATATTTTCTGCTTTAAAGGGGAATTACATTCTACATGTACTGTCTGCCACACATCAGAAGGTTCAGACTTTAACTCCACTTTTTTGCCATCACCTACGCAAACACTGTTGAATCACATTCAGGCTTGATATGTTCTACTTGATCGATACATGAAGTCCTCGGGGAGAGTTTTAATGATATTTGATGATACATGCACGTATTAATTTTATCAAAAAACTTCATGATGGCGAGGACTTCTGTAAAACCCATTACAAAGGAATTATCCTATTTAGGAATGGCTGTCTGTTTGTCTTGGAAAAGGAAAGTTTAAAATCATGTATACCATGTAATTTACAAAATACAAAATCACTCTGCTTCATGAAAGGACAAGGGTTTATCAAAGTCAAGGATTATTTTCCTTGATAATAACAGTAACATGAAATTCACGTATGGAATAAATTTGACTATTTCAATTATTATTCTACAGTGAAAGAGGAAACAAACACCTAGAGAAAACACCAAGAAAAAGCTCTGATATATCAGAAATACTGTCCAAAGCAGTACCGTATGTGACGGCGTATAAGCCAAGCTACCCATTAGATGTTATTACAAGATAGGATCCTGAGTGGTTACTGTGAGTAATGCAGTACCAGTAATTCAGTGACTAATAGGCCTTAATTACCTCTTTGATTACATCAGTTAACGATGGGATAGTTGTGTTAATAAATGCTTGTCATTAAGGGCATTCTCAGTGGAGAAATTTGATATAATTGTTCATATTGTTCCTTCTGGCTATTTATCCCATAATCAGCTATGGCCAACATGGATAATTGCTATTTGTTTTAGATTAGTGGACTTCTAGGAGATCAAGCGCTTCAGCCGTTGTTGATAATGTCAGTATGCTGCCTTTTGACATAATATGACATTTGGAAGTGTGTTCACAAGAGATAATGATGATTAATTGATATTGACCACCATGTTCTTGGAGCCTAATCGTTATCTTATGTTATATTGTGAAGTCCTTTGAAGAGTGTATTGATTTGTTCCCTGCTGAAATTAGGTACATATTTGAAGGTATGAACATGCAAGGGTTAAATTTATTGGAGTTTATGAATTAAGTACCAGAACAGTTTCATGTCTGAAAGTCTTGTTCAATCCGAAATGTTTGATATGCAAATCAATAAAATCAAGTCTTGAGATGGGGGGACATTTAAAAATTAGGTCACAGTTCCAATGATGCAACTCAGAATTATATATGTTAAAACTTGCTTTTAGCACCAATGAAATGTCTACCGTGAAGACTGTTTGAATTAGATTAAGAGCTTGTGAAGTATTTGATCAACAGCTAATCATTTGATATAGCTTTGAATTCCAAGGCTTGGCATAAGATTGGGTCGATGCCGGTCTGAGGCAAATGAGTACGTTATGACCGGGAATTGTGGGAGAGAAAGCGACCAAGTGTCATCGCTTATTTGATTACGAATGGGAGATTTGTGGAAGTAACCTCATCAAGACGAGGTGCCGACTGCCTGCGAAAGCCAAGTGGAAAAATCTGCTCCAATTTCTGGTTGAATCTGCTCCAATTTCTAAAAGCAGAGGCATGTTGGGTAATTGCTGTATGATAATCTCTCCTAGCACCTCATGGCTGCCTCCGACTTGCGATTACACAGCTTTATTGAAGTGATTGCGAACAGAACCAAAATCAATTGTCCACAAATTATGTTGCTTTGTGTAAAAAATTGTTAGTGTAGTTTCAGTAGAAACTATCCAAAAGGGGCAAAATTCAGGGGACAAGACTCAAAGACTGTGGCTACTGTTTGTTGGCTACAAATATATGATTGCCTCCACTTAAAATTGATTTTTTTTCCAAGATAAAATGGAAATGACTTGACCTTAGGTCTAGCATGGAGGAAATTTTCCATAAGGGAGCGATCAAACCGAGTTAGTTTGTGGTCATAATTGGTGCCTCCCAAAGAGCCGGACCACTGTGCTACATTCACATCTAAGGCAGTGCTTTTTTACCCGCAGAGTTTATCGATTTTGTCCATGGAGATAATGGCAGATTGAATTTGTGTTATAATTAACAAATACTATGGACTAGAGGAGGCAATTTGAAACTTGGACACGTTATTTCCTTTGTTGACTTCCCAAATTTGATTTCCCCCAAAGTAGCATTATTGGTGCTTATTTTGGTATGGGCATTACCCAAGTGGGATCAGTAGTAGGGACTTTTATTCAATTGTGGACTTACAGCTGTATGTCAGAGATTGTTCCCCTGATTTGATGGTTAAACAAATCGATCTGTACGCTGGTGACAGAGACGAGCCAAGTAGGCCTCAGGTAACACGTGTCTCCTTGCTCGTCTGTAATACCACAACACTCTTTTCTCGGTCACAGCAGTCCACCAAGCAGAAAGAGTTACGAATAACAACCAACTGTGTTTGTTTGTTGTTTAACACCGCAATATTCCAGTTATATGAAGGCAGTCTGTAAATAATCAAGTCTGGACCAGACAATCCAGTGATTGACATCATGAGTATCGATCTACATAATTATACATGCATCAACCAAATCAGCAAGCCTGACCACCCAATCCAGTTAGGCACATCTTATGACAATCATCATATACTGAAGACCAGTTCTAACCCAGATCCTCACAGGGTAGGGCAGAATGACTTCATATACCCCACGTTTGTGTGAGAACCAACTCATAAAGATGAGGTGCTTAATTACAGTGTGTGACATGGCTGATTGTGGGTCAACATGCCACAACAGAGTGGAGCGTTGCTGTGTTTGAACCTCTACCTTGCCCAGACTTAGTTTCCATGATATTGCTTGAATAATACTGCCTGTGGTATACAACATTCACACTCTCACACTGGTGACACAAGTCACCTAGTTGGTCTGTAACATAGGACGTAAGACAGGGCGACAGTCTTCAGTCAACTGGTCAGGTCTCCCATGGGCAAGTTGTCGTCTGTATCATAGAGCAGACATGTTGTTGGGAACGTTGGGTCAATATTAATCTATATGCATGTGTCCTTGTTCTACATTGTGAACCAGATGTGTGGTATTTGTTTCACAATGAGTACTTTATGACATTTTTGATTATCCAAACTGGATGAATTATTCATTTTCGATAATTCCAGCTTACGTTCATTTGTATGATTTGCCTAGTTAAGTCATCCGAAATGCAAAATACATCCTTTGTAGAAATGTTGTAAGCCTTATGACACTGATTGTATAAAAAATCACATAACGGGACATAAAAACGTGTAACTTTTGCCTGAAATAAAATGATAATAACTGTCTGAAAACATAATCAATATTATTGAAATTGTGAAGATTGTATCAAGATATTTCTGGTTTAGCTTTTGTCGTGATAGAATCTTCCTATAACCATTTTCTTTCGTCCAAGTTGTTCAGTCTCGAGACAGTTATAGATTTTACACTATGCTTCACTTTGATATGTGACAAATGTTGAATTGAGCAGGGAATGATATTCTTCAAATCAATTCCAGGATTAAAGCATGGGCTATGGTGTGCTCAGTGCCCTGAAATCAACGGCTAATATGTTTTTCTAATGTGCATTATATTTGGCACTTGAACAAGTGATTGTACCCGTGAGTGGCACTCATCCTCATGCCTCCCATCTTTCTCTATCGCCGTCCCGATCTGGAGGAACACCGTCCGCTTGTGGAATATCAGCAAGCAGCTTAGGCAAGCCAATATCAGGCGCTCACATCACATTTAAACTCTATGCATAGCAGGAACATTATGGCCACAATCCCAAGCCTGTTTTTTTACAGATGAGTCTTAACACGTTTTTCTCTGTTTCAGGAGATGAAAGTTAACTGGGCAACTTCTCCAAGTAGCCAGCCCAAGCAGGACACAAGCAGTAAGTTATCTCCCCTTACCAATGGCTATTACCAATGGCTCTTCTGGCTGCAAATGGCACTCACAATTTATGGGCAATTCCACGACAACCCACACATGGGGCTTCTGTTAGGAGGGACCAAAAAGGAAAATTCAAGCAATAATTAACTTTGACCTGTCATATGTCTGTTGCTATTGGCATCAGCTATTTAGCCATTTAGTTCCGAGGACTTCCTGCCAAGGATGCTTTTTTCTGTGTTAGTTTCAGCATCATTGTTCCTGTAAAATCTGCAATGTTTTTGATACAGATTTATCATTGCTTGACCTTTAACATGTGAGATTGTGTGTTTCTGTCTCTAGAAATCAGACACTCACAGAGTGAGAGTTTCAATCACGATTCATACAGAAAGACAATCAGTGAGATCTTCTGAAATTTCGGTGTTATTTTTGCATATTAATTTCAATATTTGGTTTGATTGTAATTAAAAATCTAACTGTCAGTTTATTTTTAGTTTATAAATAGAAGAAAACAAAAGGGAAACATTTAGTCGGACACAAAACTTCATATCTCATTAGTACGAACTGAAAATACTTCTTGTTATGTTGATAAGAAAGGCTTGAAAATGCTCAGGGTAATTGCACACTGGAGAGTGTTGCTTTTTCATGAAAACATGCTAAATTCAAAGCTTGCTACTTTGGATATGTGTAGGATCTGGTTCTTGAATGAATTGACACATAAGGACAAGAAAAACGGCTGTTAGGAAATAGCTGATTCTGACGGCCCAAAGCTGTTCTCAGTGGACCTCTTTTCATACATAAATTACAACACTGTACTTCACCAGTATAATAGAACTTAACTTGTTTACAAGATGTTTTATGGCTGGAAGAGGATATTATTATTCATACTGTTTGGGAAATTCAGAAAATCCAATTTACACTTGTTTCAATGTTTGAAATGGTTGTGAGCACCAGTGCTCAAGGTTTCCATGGAAACCTTAAATTTTGTGACACTTTTTGGGTAATTTTCTTATGATATATTAATAATTTTAAATAGTTTCTCAATATTAAAACCTGTTGTTGCTATGGAAGCTAAATGAGTGTCTCCAAGTTGTGCAATGTGTTAATGGTTAAGTATTGATTATAAAATGTTGCAGGTTTGATCCAATTCCTTTCATGTTGCTTATATTAGATCATGTATAAGGCCATGAAAAAGAGTGAAATGTTTCTGTCAGTTTATTTTGCTTTTTTTTCTTCTTCAGTAGGCAGTGGAGCATATAAACTCGAACAATTAAAACATATGCCTGTCAACAATAGCAGTATTTGTTTTGGCAAGGGAAATATGTACCTACATCAATGAAATCTTGATATAATTTTTTTATTTATTTCTTTGGAAAAAACAGGTATTAAAATGTTTTATATGACCAACATGATGAGAAACATTCATGAATTTTCATGGCCTCACTGCTGTCATATTTCTGTGTCTTACATATATATATATATAACTTATATCTGTGTTTAGTTTGTTTGACATGTCTTGTAAGTGTACATCTACATGATACTAACATATGTTCATCCAAAATCTAACATGTTTCTCGTCAGCTTTGTGTAACTAACTGAAAACGGTTTTTTAACTTTGTCTGTGTCCTGACAATTTCTTGGTCGAGGTTCACATGTCCTGTGTTTTGTTTGAAGGACAATGTAAAATATATGTTTCCTGTGATGTGAAAACATCAACATCTATTTCCCGAGATAACACCTGATGTTCCAGCGTGTATCAGGCGACTGTCCTCGTGCAGGAAACAATATTTGAAAGCACGATCTGGCTTCAACTGCAGCAGTCAGTCTTTCATGATTTAATTTTCTGAAGAGCTTCAAGGTGTATTTCATCAAGTCTTATTGGTCAGCGTATCCCATTATTCCCAATAACCAATTCTTCAATTGCTGAAATTATTACTTTACATAATGGACGATGCATGACAAAAAAGATACCGCTCACCTTAATTTATTTTCTGAGCTGTTCATAACAGATTTTCTGGTTAAGAGTCTAATTCTGACCAGTCCGTCTCCAAATTCTACACATTTGCCAGCCATATTCCATTATAGGTGCCAATACGTGTCAGAATTCAGGAAGAGAGAGAAACACAATCATTGAATATAATGCTTTCTGTGTTGCTTTGAAGCGTCCTGTTCAGCATTAATTTCAACTTTTTGTCCAACGTTCGGACTTGGCTATGGATAGAAAGATTTTGAAAGCAATCAGTGGCCGACCAAACAGTCATCTGTTGATGGATTGGCGCAATATGTCACTGACATTTAAATCACTTTTCCCTACAAAAAATAGTGATTTCCGAAGATTTTTATCCAACATCCATCATTCTTCTCGGTGAAAAGATATTGGAAAATTTTCACGGCTTTTTTAGCCCGGACTCTGTTAGGCCATGCTTTTCTGTGTCAATTTTAATCCATGTCAACCCTCCTGCATTTCATGGAGGTGTGAATTGAACGGTTCAGTCAGACTAAAATGAATGCCGAATTTTTTCCTGAAGAAAAAGTGGTGTGGACTAGTTGAGCTTATTTGTTTTCTTCTCATTTATTGATTATTCTGGGCATGACTACGACCTCGGAGCTATTCCTTACGATGAGATTTGTAATCCAGGAACACAAGAGTAATCAGAGTTCTATAATTAGCATGCAGCAAGTAAATCTAAAGTGCTGGTTCTATATCTGGCTTTTTTGGACATGGTATTCACTTACCTCGTGTTTCAAGGCCAACGCTTCGGAATCTCTCTGGCTTTGTTCCGATGATGGTCATAAAGAGGTATATACGTATACTGGACATTTCATGGTCTACTTCCCCGAACATTCATATTGATAGCTCTTGGTCTGAAAATGACTATTTCTGTGGCATTCAATCTCAACTGACTTTCTTTGAGTGTATGTATTCATAGTATTGATGTCTATGGAGTTCCATGCATATCATTTTGTTCCAAAAGGGCCATTTTTGTGTCATTTGAATGCAACAGAATATATTTGTCATAATCTGCTTCTTAAGTGAAGTGATTACCATGATTCCATAAATGACATGGAATTGGGTGAAGTTCTGACACAGATTGGTGCAACCTGTCCATATATCTCCACATCTACTTTATCATACCAAGTCTTTATAGCCAACTTGAGGCTTGAGTGGCCGAAGGTCCGAGAGGTCTAAGTTGCCCCAAGTCACTGTTCAGAGTTGCTTCCCTTAGCTGTGCTGGAATTTGCTGCCAGTAGGTTTTATTCCCAAATTTGGCCTGATGAAGATTTTTTTTCTGTGTAATTTCACACTCTAGCACTGAGGTTTCACAGGTATACATTACGTAGGCATTCCTCCTACAATGCATTGCCACACACTGTTCAAATCAGAGTTAATGCTTCTAACTTCTACAATGATTCGGTGGCTGCACAATGGTGAAGGTAATGATGGAGGGTCCTCAATAGAAAAGTATTTTCTGGCATCCACTTCCTCATTCTAAGCTGTTTGTATGAATCGCATTCAACACAAACAACCCATAGTCCAAAGTTTGAACCATAACACTGTTTATGTTTATTGATTTTCGGTGTTACAGTATTTAATGTTTTTGAAATGTCAACCTAAGGTGAGGGAGTTCATTGGTTTACTGGTTCTCATGAATCCCCAAAATCTAAAATCAGAACAAATTAAATTTGGTAGACGCTCCGTGACTTGTGCTTTTTATTCTGCTGAAAGGGTTTTAGGTAGCCATGTGGTTGTAGCATCGTCAAGCTGAAGGCTCAGGTTTGATTCCCAACATTGTACAATGTGTGATGCCGTTGCTGGGGTCCCCTGTGATGATATTGCTGGGATATTGCTGAAAGCAGCAAAAAACCTAACTCACTCAGTCGACATTCTGCTGAATGCAAAAAAGTTAATATGAAGTCCTATAAATGTTCTTCATAGTTGATCATACTGTTTTTTCTTTCACATTAAAATGCCACACGGTTGAGTGGAAACGAACCAGTATGTTGAATTCTCTGTAGATTGCTCTATTGTATGGTGTAATGATTACATCTCGTTAGTATTTAATAAATTAGGCTTGGAAAAACATGGGGAAAGTAGACAACAGCTGGGAGCTATTGCCTTGGTTGGATGTTAATTGAATGTCCATCTCATTAGCCCTCGTCAGGAGTCTCAGCAGGAAGTATTGCAGGAGCTGGAACTCAGTGCTGTTACATGCCAATAGTAATTGAACACAACCGTAGCCACAGACAAAAACATACCAATACTCACAGGCTTATTGTATTACAATGACCCCCGTGTCCAGCATCATTTGACTGATTTAATAATTTATACCATGCTGGTAGAACGGACTAGTATTGCCTAGAATGGGAATTTATGACTATCCACAGGATGAGGTGTTCTGGCCCACCTCAGTATAGTGACTGGAGTAAGTGTGTGGTAATGTAATGAAGTCATACTAACTAATATTGCTTTCTGGAAAGAGACTGTGCACAATAGAGGATTTAGGGACTTAACTTGAAGTGTAAATCCACATTCTCCGACACTGACTCCAAAGTCCCAGTCAGTGTTTCAGGATCAATGTTTAATTTTGATCCATTACATGTGGTCTGTTTTGGTGAGCAAGATGTTTTCAAAGGCAAGCATTTCAGGTTAGTGGTTAAGGCACTGCTCAAATATGATGATAATGACTTTCTAGAATAGGAGAGTCCACAAACCAATCTCAAGTCAGTCTCAGAAGCAGAAGAAAATGGAGTAAGGTTCCATATGGATTTCAAACAATAATGAATAAAAACTAACCCTATGGCATGCTATCGTCTCCTCACAGACCCCAGTTGTCAATGAGTCATGAGACACCTGCTTATTTGAACATTTGAACCATGTGTCAACAAAAACATAGAAATTAAGGCCTGGAACCTAGATCAGTTTCTCATGCTTTCAGCCCAACAACTAGCTGTTGTTTTTTCCTGCCCTAAGAAAACTCAAGCTTGGTCAACAAGTGTCGACAG